GACAAGTCAGATTATGTCAATCACCTGTTCAAAACCTGTCTCCGGCTTCCCAGATTACTCAGAGCAAAATCAAAAGCCTTACAATGTCTCATTAGGCCCTGCATTATCTGCTCCCCTTATTCACTGTCCAGTTCATAGAGATGTTGGATTTTAGAATAAGATGTCTGAAGGAATTTAGTGCCTTTGGCTACCTCCAGGAATAACAGCGATAACAGGATTTCCTTACTACTCTTCTTAAAAACTTACCTGCCAAGTTCACGATTAGAGTTCTTAGGGGAAGAGAATCTATAACTTTTGTCAGATTCTCAAAGAAACCATGAAACCAAATATTATCAGAATTACTGTGTAAGGTACTATCATAATTAATTAAAATTCAAATTTATTATAAGTTAAATCTTAACTTTTTCAAGCTTTTTTCTGTGATAGTAATTCAGTGAAAAGTAAATGACATTCAAATATAAATATGCTTTAAATACATCTGAAAATTAACCTTCTGTCTCTGATTTTTCTGGATTATGCAGCAGTTTACTTAGCTTTTCTACACTTTTTTTTTCTCTAATTCTTTAACTGTTTGTTTGTTTTTTTCCTTTCCTTTGTAATGATACTATGTTTAAAAGGTCAGCACTTTGCATCTACCAGCCACTCCGCAGAAGAAAGATATGGCAAATGGTTTCCACAAAGATTACAGCCTAGGAAACCCAATGGGACAGTTCTATTGTATCACAAAAAGTTGCCATGAATCGAATCAACTTGATAGCAATGAGGAATCAATCTAAAATTTAAGAAGCTATCAACTTGTGGTTCAAAACACAAGTCAGAAATATGACACTGAGAACCATACCTGCCCATGCTGTCAAGGGTTTCCATTGAAAGGAAATCCAATTAGTACACAAGAAACAAGGATTGAGTGGGAACTTGAGATAGGCTTTTTAATCACTGAAGATCACACTTCCTCATACCAAGTTATGAGGAAGCCATTCAACAAGCTTCTAAGATTAATATGTTGACACAACCCATACAGAGTGGAACAATCTAGGTTAACAATTTAGTAAACATGTCTCTGGTTGCCCAAGTCCATAGCTTTGATAATGATTGTGCACTCACATGGTTCAGTGTAAGGAACTCTAAATTTAAACTGTAAAGAAACTATAAGCTGGCTTGTCAAGGAACTATCATTATTACCCTTCCATAGTTTCACACTCACCCTCCCTCCTGAATCCTTCCCATTCAAATTTAAGTATACTCAAATCTTTCTCATCTTAAGAGAAAGGAACACAAAACACAAAACAACCAACCAGAACAATGTTCCCAGATCCCCACATCCAGCCTGAACTCTGGTCTTTCTAAAGCTATTATCATCAATTATGTTTCTTCACATTCCACAACGCACATCTGGCTTCTCCATGAAGATACCCTTAATAAGGTCTCCAAATGGCATTCACAGTGTTTAATCCAACAGAATTATTTCAGTATTCATCCTAGTGGACCCATCAACAATATATGGTACACTTGAAACATTCTTTCCCAGTCTCTGTGACACCAACTTCCTCAGTTTGTCTCTCCTCTCCTCTTACAGATCCCCTCAGCCAGATAATCTTCCTCTTTGTTCTCTGACCTCTTCCCCAGGCTATCTTATCAGTGCCATGGCCTTACTCTATCTATCTATCTATCTGACATCACCTCTGGAGGAAATTCTGAACTGTTCCATGGGATTATCTCCCAAGTACTCAAGCTGAACTCACACACTACTCCACCAAACTGGCTGGCCTCCAGTGTTCCCTGAGTCACTCAGTTCTCAGCCATCTGACCTTTCCTCTTAAGTCTCTACTTAAGAAAACGCATGCAGATTCACAGTTAATATCCTTTCCAGGAGTACAAATACAAATTAGTATGTTTGGCTTTAACTCCTTCTCCAAAGCTCCAGTTCAACATCTCCAAATACATTTAGAACTCTACTTGCATTCTGTATCACCATTTGAAGTTGAACCGTCTAAACTAACTCACATCAGCCCCACACTACATTCAGCTATCCCTTCTGATTCCTAATTGTTATTCATTTTCTCAGCTTATGAAACTAGAAAATGAATGTCTTGCATATCTAACTGTTGTTCCAATTATACAAGCATTAGCCCTGGGTCAGGGTCCCTCAACTGATCTTGAAAACCTAAAAAAAAACAAATATTCCACAGCGGGCATTGACCATAACTCTTTAGTTGAAAACAAACTTTCAACCTGGTTACTGTATCTGCTAATTGCCATTTGACCTAATACAAACATTACTTAAATGTTTCACCATTCTATAAAAAAAAAATAAAAACGTGGTACAGTCATAACATTTATTCTTCCCACTTAGATGATTATTCTGAAACCGGGTTTCTAAATAGTCTCACCTCACTATCCCACACCCTAAAGCTTCCTGGCAAATCTATCTGTATCTCTATTGTTTTATTTCCTCCCCACCCAACTCCTGAGTGAATGCTAAACTAATTTAAATTGTTAGAGCAGGGCAAAAGATAGCCTGTCTATAAAACCAAAGCAGCAAAAGTCCATCCATAGCTAATAGTTTCTATCTATTAAGATGACTTGCAAAGACTTCAGCGATTGTAAGAGCAGACCTCTGAGATTTGAGGCACATTTTGAGGTATCCCTATGTTTTAAAGGCTAAACTATAAATTCCAGACTCTTTGCTCCTCTGTCAAGTGGACAGGCATGAGGATAATTACTATAGATCACAAATTACATAGTTAATCTATTCTCCTACTCTCTAAAAGAATATTTATTTAAATGTTTACTTTGAATCCTAGAATAGAGAAGCATCTTTCCCTTATGAATACTTCTGATAGGTAAATGTCTCATTTTTTTTAACAACAGCCAATTATGTATTTCAAGTAAACAAAAGGCAATGATTTATATGTGCAAAATGAGTTATATTTTGACATAGTCAATTCCTCTTATGCTTACCCTTCTCACTCACACAAACACACCCCACATTGTATTACTATTGTTCCATTTAGTGTGTTGGCTGAGCAGTAAAATTCATTAAAATCCTATTTTCCAAAGGACCAGCAAATTTTGCTTCAGAAGGCACAAAAAATATAATTTTGAGGAAACATGAAACAGGATAACAGAATTCTAAGCAATCCCAGTAAAAGAAATCAGCAATGGCTAAATTCTTTAGCATGCCAGCCACATTTATGGAGAGGACCCACTTCTCATAACCCCCGGCCCAATCAGAACAGTTTCCATGATAGGAGTAGGACTACACGGAACTTCCTCATCCAGATCTCCATGATTTTTCCTAAGTGTGAGTGTACACGTGTGGCTGGAGTGGTAGGGAAGGTCAGAGAATGGGAGAGGAAGAAAGAGGAGACTATATCTCATTTGTATCCTCTTGGTTTTTCTCTTCTTTCATTTGACTAAAGGCTACATTCAGACATTAGTATTAAAAGCAAGCAAACAATGAAAATTTTTATAAATCCAACTATTTAAAGCTGGATTCATACGCAAATGTTACCATTCTATAACAATAAAATGAATAAACATGAAATGGAAAATAATAGGTTAGGAATTTTATAAATAAACTCAAATGTATAAAACAAGTAGATTTCACTTACATTATTTTACCCAATCACCTAGAAGCCAAGAAAATTGCATTGCCTGCCCAAGTCCTTGGAGAGACAGTTTAGTTAACAGCCTACCTGTGCTTCTGAGATGACCACACAGCTTACATGTCAAACTCATTTTAAAGTGTCAATCATGTTCTTTTCAATCTAATTAGTTTGGAAAGTAGTGTCACTGACCTGGAACTCTGCAGACCACTTATTATCATATCATTTGATCAACCTAACACTCTACCTCAGTTGAATTTGAGACACCTATAGCCAAAATGTAATATCCTTGCTCCCACTCATTATGAGTAACTCTCAGCATAATTTCCTATTTACAACTCAATTTATCTCTATGAATAAGCATAGCCAGCTTCACAGAGGCAACTCACAGAATCTCCCTTATTTAAGAGTTCATGGTAATTAAAATTAAAAGGTAAAGAAACTAAGGAAAAAATCTCTCTCTATCCATCTAAGGGTATATATCAGATTTGAGTTTTTAAATGTTCAGAATTGTTAAAGGAGGGGAAAGACAGCAGAGGGAGTGGAACATGAATATTCAGTGAAAATGCGGCCCCTTAAATCTGAAACTTCTTTTTTTTACTGCAAAACTGATAACAAACCATATAAAAGCAGGGTAAACACTAACTGTCATCACACGGGTATGTTTTATAATAAAGAAAAACTTAGTCAGGTTCATAGTATTTAAACTGACTTTAACCAGGCCAAGGCAGGATTTAGTTGAGTTCAAAGGAGTAATGTCTAGTTCCTCTAAGCTTAGAGATCACAGCCAAGTGTCTCTAAGGAAGGAGCTATGGGACAGATCACAATGAGATTGCAGTCTAGAATCCAGACACTATGTCCTTGATGCCATGGACAGGGGTAGGGTAGGGTTGGGGTGGCAGCATATTGACCAGAGGAAGCTGCTGGGTCTAGCAACAGAGAGTATCTGACCCACTCTTTGGCAAGAGCATACAAATGTACAAATCTTTCTCCAGTTTTAGCTTTGCTTATTTAAGGACTGAATGGTTGGGAAGACAAAAACCTAAGCTGGCAATCTTAACTCTGAACCACAGAATAGCACACTGCATCAGGGAAGGAAAACACTCTCCTACATATCATCTATGCCTTCAAAATGGTGGATTTCATATTTATAAAGGTAGCATTAAAAAAAGTAGTAGCAGTGACATTTCACGTAATGACTATTTACTCTAGGGAATGCCACCTTCTCTATCTTATGTTTCCTTTAGGGAAGTTCAATTGCATTTTACCAAAACTGCTGTTTGTCTGAAGGACAGAGCAAGATTCTTCAGTGATGTTTATTTAATCAAATAATTACTGGAGAATATGATTTTACTTCTGGTCAGAGAAAACAGGCACATCTAACAAACGTACCTTCAGGTGAAGAGCCCGTCTTTTGGGAAAAGACAGCATTAACTTTACTCTTCTTACTGATATCGCTGTTCACCGACAAGCTGGACTGAATTTTTCTATGCATTTTTTGAGAAACAGGTGAGGAAAGTTTTCGATTGTCTGCAGATACTTGTTTGACCCCATGGTGAATTCCATTCCCATTGCTCAGACTCGTGTGGCCGTTCTTTATCTTGGCTATTTCCTCCTCACTCGATTCCGGTGCTGCAGTTTGAAGCTGAGGCAAGCGCTGAGGTTGGGCTAAATGAAAAACAGGAAAAATGTAGCCAGTTAAATACAGTCAGTAACCATTTTTTTGTTTTGTTTTGTTTTGTTTTAGAATTTAACCATGATACTAAAAATGAAAAAGAGAAGAAAAGAAAAAGAAACAGAATAAAATACAGTAAAACCTGTGGCAGTCAGAATGTGTGTAAGCAGGAAACCTGTCAGAGAAGGAAAACTCAAATACTTTCCATTAAAATGATGGCTAGAAAAGTGGTTAAGCCTGCACCCTGTGAAAAAGATCTTTGCAAGACCTAGAAAAGCAAAGCAGTCCTGTCAAGTTCACAGTGTCACTGTATTAACAAACATGGACACTGTAGTTAGGTGCCACAGAGTTGATTTCCACTCTTAACGACCATAGGGTTTTCCAGGCTGTAATCTTTATGGAAGCAGATTGTCATGTGTTTTTCCCATGGAGCCACTGGATAGGGCCAAACCACCAACCTTTCAGACAGTAGCTGAGCACTTAACAACTGTGCCACTGGGGCTCCTTCATATGGACATAGAGAAAGCATAATTAACAATTACAAAAAGGAAAAAGGTAATTCAACAGTCATTCCGTAAGTACTGATTGTTTTCTTTGTGCTGGGCCCTCTTCTGGGTGCGATAAACACAGCAGTATTATCTCAGTATCTCTAATAACAAAAATTTACTCTTCTGAAATCTTTTAAGATAAAAATAAAGAAGTAATGAATTCCAATGTTCAAAGCTCAACAACATATAGGAGAATAAAAAATAATGCCATTTTAAATCCTGGAAAAGAGAACCTTTTCTATGTTTATTCTTTAATTCGACTTAAAAATAAACGAGTTGTGAAAAGTTGGGAATAGAAGGGAATTTCCTTAATCTTATAAAAAAAAAAAAAAGTATCTACCACAATTAAACATCATTATTTTAGAAGTACCCCACTTTTGGTCAGGATCAAGAAATAAATGCCCACCTTCCCCATTTTTACCCAACATTACACTAGAGGTCCTGGTGAAAACAATAAACAAGAAATAGTAAGTCTGAGTCCTGGAAAGGAAGAAATAAGATTTTTGAGATGTGTTTATGATTTGAATGCTCTGGAGAAAAATCTAAGATATTACAAATTATAAGTTCTAGAAAACTGTATTAATTCAGCAAAAGCAATACAGGATCAATCATGTAAAAATCAACAATGTTACTATATACTAACAGTAACCAATTAGCAAACATACAAAAAAAGAAAAAAGGAAAAAGAAAAAGAAACAAATCCTATATGAAGAATTAGGCTAGAGGAGTAGGAATTAAGGTAGGAAAAATAAGCTAAGGTTTTATGGCAAAAAATTACAAAACATAACTGAAGATCATAAAGAAAACCAAAATATATGGACAGAGTATAAATATGTTAATTACCCTCAATTTATAGTAAATACAATTCCCATAAAATTTTCAACAGAGTTGTTTAAGGTACTTGACAAGCCAGGGGAGTATCAAGAATTATCAAGGAAATTTTAAGGAAGATAAAAAGTGGTTGTGGGTCTTAAGAGATTGCAAAAACCAAAAAAACAAACAAACTCACTGTTTGGAGTCAGATCTGACTCAGCCACCCCTCCTTGGGTTTCCAAGGAAGTATCTATCACTATGGAAGTAGACTGCCCAACCCTCCTTCTGAGGAGTGGCTGGTGGGTTGGAACTGCCACCCTTCAGGTTAGCAGTCAAATGCCTTAGGCACTATGTCACCAGAGCTCCTTTAAGAGATTAGAAATCTTATTATAAAACTACAGTAACTAAAGCAATACAGGTTTCCCCTGCTATCTGAAAGTACAGTATTTCTATGGAACCTTTCATAAGCTGAAATGGCATAAAGTGAAGAAGCAATTACCATTAATTATTGTTGTTGTTGTTGTTATGTGGTGTGGAGTCAGACCGGACTCATAGCAACCCCTCCTTGGGTTTCCGAGGAGGCAGTATCACTATGGAAGTAGATTGCCCAACCTTCCTTCCGAGGAGTGGCTGGAGGGTTTGAACCGCCAGCCTTCTGGTTAGCAGTCAAGTGCCTTAGGCACTACACTATCAGAGCTCCTCCATTAATTTATGTGGGCAAAGTTTATAAGCATTCCAAGACCCAGCAAAACAACGTACCAAATCATATCTCTTAACACTTAACACCTTAAATAACATTAACACATAGTGTTCACAGACACAGCTCCAAACTCTGGCAGCTTGATGCTGAGTGTAGTTTCCAGGAAAGGGGCTTGGTGATGCCACTCTCAACTGTTCAGATGTGTGCTGTCTCTTTCATGCCCCATCTTCCTCCCACAGAGCAGCTGGTGGTTGGTTTGAACTGCTGACCTTCTTGTTAGCAGCCAAATGCCCTACCCACTATGCCACCAGAGCTCCTTAAGTATATGTATATCTCATACAAATAAATTCCAGATGTATTAAATGTCAATATATGGAAAATAAAACTTTTCAATTTAAAGAAAAATATAGGAGGCTGTTATAATAGCGTGAGCTCTGGTGGCATAGTGGGTAAGATAACTGGCTGCTAACCAGAAGGCTGGTGGTTCAAACCCACCAGCCACTCCTGAGAAGGAGGACTGGGCAATCTACTTCCATAAAGATTTACTGCCTCAGAAACCCAAGGAGGGGTCGCTATGAGTCGGAATCAACTCGATGACAGTGAGTTTGTTTGTTTGGTGGGTTGGTTGGTCATAATAGCATTACAGTAAGGAAGGTCAAACAAATTTCACTCTTTGGACAGTGAATCATAAAACTTGCAAAGTGAATATTCAACATTTGTGCTGCCCAGCATTTCTGAACACCCACTAACGTTTTGGATAGATTGCCCTATCACAATCCCTAGGCTCCTCTGTAGCTATGGAGCGAGAACAAAGCACCTAACTCCTGCCAGTCAGAAGCACTCACATATGGCTGCCATTCTAAAGTGACCAAGGCAGCAGCCACACAAGGGAGGTGGATCTTCTTGGCATGGGCAGTGGAAAATGTATTTGTTAGTCTCGCACTTGGAAGAGCTTCTGGTATCCACTCCCAAACGGACCAGTGGTGCAGTAGTGGGATTTTCATTAGAGAAGCCTACTAATGGGCAAGGTCCTTAGTCTTTGACTGTTGAGCTCTGGAGGAGTCTATGCACTACTAATAGATTTGCTTTCCATTTTAATTAGCCAGGAAGGATTCTGTTTATTTATTTATTTTTTTGCAGCCCTGACCCATCTCCCTCAAAAAATGTTATCTGTTTCCACTCATTAAGTAATGAGTTTATCATTCAAAATTACTATTTACCTCAGTTATATAGGTAGGATAGCTACCAATCATAGCATCTCAGCAAAAACAAGAAGAACTTATGACACAAATTTTACTACACTATCATTTTTTGGAATTTTTAAATCTAAAACTACCATTTCCTTTAGTCTCTTTTCCGTTTATAGTTATGAAATGTAAACTAAATATGAACACTAAGAACTCTTCCAGTAGCAAAAGTATTGCATGCAAAGCTCTCATAAACCCACTAAACCCACTGCCATGGAGTCGATTCTTTCTCATAGCAACCCTACAGCACAGAGTAGAATTGCTCGATAGGGTTTCCAAGGCTGTAAATCATTAAGGAAGTTAACTGCCACATCTTTCTCCCATGGAGCTGCTGGTAGGTTCCAACTGCAACCTTTCAGGTAGCAGCCAAGTGCTTTAACCACTGAGCCACCAGGGCTCCTAAAACTGTCAAAGTCATTGATAGATGTCCAAGAGGGCTGAACACCTGTGCTGTGGGAACTAGCTAGGGCTTGGTTCATATTTTTGACAAAGACTGTTTGCGTTTGAGAAAGCCTTTAGCATACCACTGTTTTGTTCACATACCCAGTTTATCTTGGAGGAGAAAAAAAAATTTAGCATATCAAAACATTCTAGTCATGAATGTGTATATCTTAAAAAAAAGACAGAATTTTTTACTTAAATCAAAAGCATCTTTCATAACAAGTCTATTAAAATAAGTACTTGGACATGGTGAATGGGGAATGAAACTAAATGTATGCGTTACGTTGAATGTAAAACAAGCTCTTAAAAAAATGAAAGTAAAATAAGTACTTGATTTATAAAACTAATATATGAAATCTTCTCACAGTTTTTCAGTTCTCCAGTGATAACCAGAGGGGGAATAATTGTTTAAAAGGTATTTCAGAATATTATAAATAGTAGTAAAGTTTATCAAAATATATTTTCTAATTTCTGATTTAAAAAGAAGGAAAAGGAGAAAAGGTTACTTGTCTATTAAGCAGTTACATGCACCCTTCTCGTAACTAAAATATACAATCAAAGCATCTGTAAAAGGAGATCTATTTCTTATAGGTGTACAACCATTAGATTTAGAGATTACTCTGCTGCTCCTATAACCTCTCGGACCAACTAGAATGACAACCTAAAGACTGCTATTGAGCATAAAGCTAGCTATGCATATGTATTTAAAGGGATGCCAAAGAAGGCAGTTAAACCTAATCTGGTGTTCTTTCCAGGTACTTTCCAATAATCTCCCCAAATAATCAAATGTTTTGGCCACATTTTCTTTGAAAAGAATAATTCATGTGATCTGAGAGCTTGCTTAAGTTGAAACATCACTGGTCAATGCTGGGAGGAATTCTCGTTACGTTAAAGCCCTGTCGTACTGCATAACCCAGTATCAATTTGGAATTACTATATAATTGTTAAGTATTCTCAATAAATAAAAATAAGGCTGGAAAAAGACAATTATGTCTTGCCACCAAATTTTAAAACTGACTGATTAGACCTTTCTCTATCAAAACTGACTATCTGCAAATTACTGTGTGGGGCTGGAGTGATATTCCACCATATCCTTAACAATTTATCTACATTTCAATCTTCAAAATGATATCTATTTCTGTTGGCAGATAAATGATAGTACATTCATTCTTGCTTCACTGTCACCTAATTATTTTTACTATAGTTTGTATTATGGTCAGGTAACCAAGTATTCTCTCTCCAAG